ATCAAGGGAATCACTGGTGATGAGAATATCATCAACATACACCAAAAGGGCTGTAAAAGAACCATCAGTAGACTTGACAAAAAGACTATAGTCAGCTTTAGACTGTGAGAATCCAAAATGCAACAAACAGGATGTAAGTTTGGCATACCATTGTCTCGAGGCTTGTTTTAAGCCATAGAGACTCTTCAGTAATTTGCAGACCTTATTAGGACCTCCCTTGGTATAGCCAGGTGGTTTGTTCATGTAAATTTCCTCCTCTAAATCACCATGGAGAAATGCATTGTTTACATCAAATTGATGTAAATGCCAACCTCGAATGGCAGCAATAGACAGTAAGCATCTTACTGTTACCATTTTTGCAACTGGTGAAAAAGTCTCGGTATAGTCAATTCCCTCTTGTTGTGTATAGCCCTTTGCAACCAAACGTGCTTTAAGTCTCTCCACACTGCCATCTGAATTTCTTTTCACCTTATATACATACTTGCAGTCAATTGGCTTTTTGTTAGGAGGCAAGTCAGTGAGAACCCAAGTATTATTTTGCTCTAAGGCATGCAATTCCGCATCCATGGCTGTGCACCAGTTCGGATCTTTCACTGCTTGGCTATAAGAGGCAGGTTCAATAGCAGTAGAGAGAAAAGAAGAAAAGGCTTGGAAAGAAGGAGAAAAGTGATCATAAGACAGATAATTTTCCAAAGGAAAAGAACAAGTAGAAGGAGAAGTAGATACCTGAACCGTGGATTGAGTAGATGGAGTTAAGGTAGCCTGTTGACAGTGAAAATCTGCTAAGTAATGAGGTGATGTACGTGTTCTGGTAGACCTACGGATTATAGGCTCAATAGAAGGTGATGAAGGTGTTGTAGGTGCAATAGGAGTGTTGCCAGACGCAGAGGAAGGGGGAGAGCTACTGACAGGAGCATCACTAACAGGAGAAGAGGAAGTAGTATGTGCAGGAGAAGGTGTATGGGTCAAAGGTAGTGAGTTGTTGTCAAGAGATGTGAGAGTAGATGATTGTGAGGGAAAATTTGGAAAAGGGTATTCAACAGGATTAGATGATGGAGAAGTAAACATTGGAGATGAATTTTTATGCTGCAAATCAAGATCAGTATGAGAAGAACTAAGAAAAGGAAATGATCGTTCATGAAAGATGACATTCCTTGAAACAAAAGTAGTATGAGTGGCGAGATCTAACAGCTTGTACCCTTTAATGCCAAATGGGTAGCCTAAAAAGACACACCGTCTACCTCTGGGGTCAAATTTCTTTCGGCCATGTGAAATGGTAGTAGCAAAACATAAACATCCAAAAATTCGGAGGTGAGTGTACGTAGGTTTGATAGAGAAAATAGTTTCATAGGGTGATTTGTTGCTAAGTAAAGGAGTAGGGGTTCGGTTTATCAGGTAAACAGCTGTAAGTATACAATCATTCCAGAAATGCAAAGGCAAACCAGATTGAAATCTCAAGGCTCTAGCTACATTTAAAACATGCTGGTGTTTTCTTTCCACTATGCCATTTTGTTGGGAAGTCTCCACACAAGACCTTTGGTGAATGATTCCTTTTTGGTTGAAAAACTCAGTCATTTGGAATTCAACTCCATTGTCACTTCGAATTATTTTTATTTTAACATCAAACTGAGTTTCTATCATATTGTAGAAAGATTCAAGACATTTTCTGGTTTCAGATTTTGCTTGTAGGAGATACACCCAAGTGGTTCGTGAGAAATCATCCACTATGGTTAAGAAAAATCTGCTCCCATCATAGGCAGGCACTGAACAAGGGCCCCATATATCACAGTGGATCATGTCAAAAATAGCAAGGGATTTATGCTGACTAATGGGAAAAGGAAGTTTCTGTTGCTTTGCAATTGGACAAACAGAGCAAGGATTAATTTTATTAGAATTGAAAATGCCTTTTACAGCGGGGTCATCAATCAAAGTAAGCCTAGAATTTGAAATGTGACCAAGGCAATAGTGCCAAAGGTCAGAAACACTAGTATTATTCATTACAGAAGCTGAAAAAGATTGAAAATGAGCTGACAAAACCGCTGCAAGTGCATTTGGAGGAACAAGCTTAGGTAGAAGATGATAGAGACTGCCCTTAACTTCACCCATCCCAATCGTGGTCCATGTGGAGAGGTCCTGTATAAAACAACGATCAGACACGAAAAGCAAGCAGCAAGTTAGTGATTCAGTGAGTCTCTTAACTGAAATAAGATTGAAAGAAAAGGATGGCACGCATAAAACATTCTTGAGAAGAATTGTTTTGGTGATTTGAACATTGCCAATGTGTGTAACAGGAATGGACGCACCATTTGGTAAGCTAACACAATAAGAAACTTCAGAAATGATAGAGGTAAAATAAGAAGTACTGCATATCATGTGATCTGTAGCACCCGAATCTATTATCCAAGGAATTTTAGAAGATTGCACAGAATTTTGATCAAAGGAGGTAAAGCAGTGAGATGTGCCAGAAAACTTGGAAGCTTTAGGTTCATTGGAAACAGGTTGATGAACAACCTGTACATGATTGACAGACGGAGAAGCAGTAGAAAAATCTTTGTGTTGCAGCAAACTCATGAGCTGCTGGTATTGCCCTCGAGTAAAACTTACTTTCTCCTCATGAACTTCCTCTGGATCAGAATCAATTGACATACTAGCTTGATTGGCAGAAACTCCAGAATTATTTCCCTTATACAGCTTATGTCCCGGAGGGTAACCATGTAACTTGTAGCACTTATCCATCGTGTGGCCAGTCTGACAACAATGATTGCAAATGGGAGCTTTTGCATTACCAATCTTAAAACAGTTATCAAGAGTATGACCTTGTATCCGACAATACGTGCAATATGGTCTTTCTTTCCTTCCATTTGCACTGGTTTTGGCATTAGGTTTATAAGTAGGATAAGAGGTTTTACTAACCAAGGCCATTAACTCAGGATTTGGAGATGAACTAATGATCTGGTTTTGCTGCTCTTGTTGTTGAATAAGAGAAAATATTTTGGTGATTGAAGGGATCGGATCTAAGAGCATAATCTGGTCTCTAGAATTCGTATATTTATCACTTAGTCCCATAAGAAACTGGATAACCTTGTCCCTCTGATCTCTGGCATCTAAAACACTCAATTGACCACAAGTGCAAGGAGGTACAGGATCATACATGACAAGTTCATCCCAAAGAGTTTTAAGCTTACCATAATATATACTCACTGGATCATTTTCTTGCTTCAGCCTAGCCAAGTCCCTTTTTAATTGGAAGATTCGAGGTCCATTTTGTTGTGTAAAGCGATCTCTGAGTTCATTCCATACATCCTGTGCATCATCAACAAAAGCAACACTCGATTTTACCTCTGTACTGATCGAGTTTTGGATCCAGGATACGATAATATCATTGCACCTTTCCCAAGCATCCAGTAGTTCTTCAGAATCTATAGGTTTGGCAATGCTTCCATTGATGAACCCAAGTTTATTTCGTGCTCTAAGGGCTCGTCTCATGGCTCGTGACCAGGTCACGTAATTGTCAGCAGTGAGGAGATCACTGACAAGAATGATGGTGGTGCTATCTCCATGATCAATGCGAAATGGATTGTTTGGATTGGAAAAGTCAAGAAAAGGGGGAGAATGTTTTGGGCAAGTAGTATTTTCAGTGTTCTTTGTATGCTCTGCCATTGAAAAAAGGAAAACACAGAATCAAAGAATCAACCACGCTCTGATACCATGTAAGAAATAGAAAACTCAATGA